GGATAGGATAAGCTATAATACAAGATAAACTACTGAGACAAATAATTAAAACAATAGTTTATGCCTGATATTTGCTAGGGATCATCTTTGCCTGTGTTTCACAGACAGTGGGAAATGATCTGTACTTTTGTGACAATGGAGTTGTATATTACTGATGTTGCAGATAGACATGCTACATTCTTCACCACCATTAACTGTTTAAGTTGATCTAGGTCAGATCTGTACATCTTGTTGTGTTTAGTTCATTACAGATACAGATTGTTGGTCCATATTGATTTGAAGTTGCGAAAGTCAGCTTTTGAGCAAAAGTTATCCATCTCTAAACTGAGCTCTTTCGATGAGAGAATCAACCTGTTCAGAATATGCTTCTGGGGATATAGCCAAAAGATATGAATAACTCAGAATCAGACACATGAATGTGCCAGATGTTCAGAGTCTTGGTGAAATGCTGACTCTGGCTTTGATAAGCAGACATTGTATTCAGCAAAGAGTGAACCAACAATTAATCAGCTGAGGGCCTTGGTAAGAGAAAAAAAAATTAATGATAAGGAAACTCGCAATTTTTCTACAACTTTAATACAAATGTAATTTGTTATACCATTTAATTCTAATGGTCAGCAGGTGTATTTACTTATTTTAATATAAATATGTTTCTTGTGAAATTTTCATAACAGTTTTTTAATAACAGATTTTTGATGTGCTTTGTTTTAAATTTGAAAAATGAAAATAAAGAAGCTTACAAAATGAGAAATTTATCATAAAGACAAGACAAATGGATGGGAGGAAAACCTAAATCAGGTCCCTTAGTATCTTTGTTATGTATTCATCTCTTATGGAAAAAATGCTGTACTTTTTAGGAAAAAATCCATTAGTTACACAATGATTGTATCTTTTATCAGTATTGCTATTTGTAATTTGACAAGTTTCAACTCTCTTTTTTGGTCCAGATTTTTAGAGTTGTAGCAGTAAAATGGCTAAAGCCCAATGTACAAAGAGGGTGTGTTACAGTGTTTGGAAAACTATAGCAAGCTAGTTACTTATAGTTTCAGTTCAAAGATGTCACCAAAGTTATTAGTTATAGTTACTGCCTTGTTTCTGTAAAGTAACTAAAATTGCTTTAGTTGCAAATAATGGCTTATGGTTCAAAACACACATTTCTTCCATACTTCTCAGTTTAAACAATAGAGCACGAGGCTCATACAGAACAAGTCAGTAGTTGAACAATGTAATATTTTGATGTATTCGCGAAGGCTTTCACGGCCGGGATCTAATGGTTGTTGTGGGTTTTTCGGGCTTCTTGGCCGTGTTCTGAAGGTGGTTCTTCCTACTGGCGAAACGTTAGGAAGAACCACCTTCAGAACACGGCCAAGAAGCCCGAAAAACCCACAACAACCTATGTAATATTTTGTCTCCACTCTTAGGGAACGCATGGGCCTGTGACTATGTAAGTAGCAAAAAAAGGAACTGTAGAAGTTAACCTATGCCTTAGTATGTCAACATCATAATGTAACATAATTTATACCTTGGTTGTTGGGGAAAACAATGAATTATAAATAATCAGTAGTGACGTTGACTGATAAACAAAGTAAAAAAAAATCAGCCCTGTTGAGCTCTTGTCTCTTTTACACTACAGTACCTTAAAAAAGGAAAGTGCACAATTGTGGTACCCTTTTTGGGTCTGTATGCCTTCCTGAGGCAGGGTGTTGTAAAAGGCAAGGAGGAAGATAGTTGACAAAAGGGAAAGGCCAAAAAAGCAAACCAGATCAGATCAGGCATTCACCAAACACATTCCAGAACAACAAGTCTGAAGATAATGCAACATCTTAAAGTATATTAAACCATTTTTATATTTGTTAATACAGTCTGCCTAGAGCACATTTGATCTCCACCTAACAAGGGCTATAAGCTTCATAAGGGGAAGAATCAGGCCAAAATTCACAGCTAGACTTTGTTTTGCAACAATAATCTAAATTTCTCATTTCTTTGATCTTGGCCATGAAAGTGACTACAATTCAACACTAGAAGTAGGGTGTCTGAGATAGCCACATTTGAATATCTTCTGTTCCCCTATATCAGAACTGTAAGCTCTGATCTGTTTCCCCCTTCTCCTTTCCTTTTCTCCATTCTTCACTCCCCCTCTCTTTTATAACTCAGTGCTTCAGAAAGGATGGTGATCACAAAAACAAAACAAAACCATGTCTTTTTTAAAGAAGTTGGTATTATATAGGAGTCATTCAGACATGGAATTTGGATTTTGTGCAATCAGTTACTTACATGTAACTGGTTATTTACTGGGTGTGATATTATTGAAGCAGGGGCTACAGAATTCTTTCCCTTCTTTTGCCCTCTTGGTGTGGCTCAAGAAGCTTGAATGAACTTTCTACCAGGAAGTTAAATAGTGTCCAAGTATAGACCCCCTTGCACATTCTGGATAGTATTCCTGCTATGCCAGCATGAAGCATTACAGATGCTAAGGAAATGCAAGTTTTGAATATCATAACAGAGATTTTCATTTTCTATTATATACAGTATCAAATCATTTATCTTACATAGGTAAAAGGTAAAGGTTCCCCTTGACAATTTTTGTCCAGTCGTGTCCGACTTTAGGGGGCGGCGCTCATCCCGCTCTTCAAGCCATAGAGCCAGCGTTTTGTCCGAAGACAATCTTTCTGTGGTCACATGGCCAGTGTGATTTAGACACGGAACGCTTACATAGGGAATATCAGTATTCATATATTTTGTAACACAAGAATGTTAGCTACCAGTATAATACGACTTAGCTACAATGTGGTGTAAAAATAATTTCTAAAGGAGGAAGGAATTGGGAGATCCAAGAAAATCATTTTATATTTGATTTATAATGAAATGGTAATGTACCCAGAGGCTTGTTTCTCCCATTATTAGACTGAAAAAAAAGGGAGCAAATTAACTGGAAGCCATTCCTGATAATGACTCTTGAGTCACTTTTGACAGGGTTTTGTATAGTTGCATTTGGTTGAGGTGTCCTCAACCCTACTTGCTCCCTACTTTGTACATGACACCACACATAAAGGTTAATCAAGACTCTGCTGTGTTACTAAAATGTAAGTAACCCCCTACTGATGACATGAACATAGACTTTTTATTTTAGGCCATCAAGTGAGACTTTTCAGCAATAGCATATTCAAATTCAAATTTTTTGGAATAAAAGCATTTATAAATTGAAACCTTACTAGTTTTGTGTATAATTTTAAAAACTTTGCTTAGTTCTAAGTTTTGAGGATGTAGTTTTATAATCCAATTTATAATTTAGACTATAAAACTGCATATCATTCTTGAAGTCTGTAGCTGTTGGGTACATTTTTAAGTTACTGTACTGAACAATCCATCTTTAACACTTAAGTAGTTAATATTTGATCCCAATCTGATAGCAGATGGTTGTTGTTCTTTCTGTTTTGGCAAGTGGCAATTTTTGGAAGATAGTTGATCTGCCTGCAATATGCATTGGTGCTCTTACTGGTGCGTTCAAAGTACCAGAATGCTGAATTATAATCTCACATTAACATTAGTTACATTTCGGTTGCTGCCAATGCACCCTGCACAACATTTTGCTTGTAGATGAAGAACTTAAATAAACATCACTTGAAAGTAGAGGTAAGGTGGGGAAGGGTGAAATTTTGTCTTTCCAATCAAAATGGTAGTTGGATATCTGGAAGAGAGATGCAAATAGGAAATCTCTCCTGCCCTTTATTGTAAAGAGGATGAATAAACATTTCAAATCCAAGTGTTTCTGTTTATTGTGGGAACAGATGTGGATGAGTGATTTCCTGTCTTCACAGGATGTGCTAGGTAGAACATAGAGTAACAAACCTTTAAAAATGATTCTACAGACTGATAGAATATCTAGCACCTGAGAATCCCCCCTCCCCTTCAGACCTTTGGCTATTCAGTTATCTTCATGTCTACTAAAAACTGTGTAACTCTTTGAGTTTATGTGTGTTTATCTTAATTATAGAAGAGGAAGAAACAACTGGAAGGGAAATATTTAAAGAACAAACGAGTGAGAGAACAAGGGACAGCTGGACTATGAAATATATGAAGAACATAAAAATAAAAATGGGGTTTCCTAAAAATGAAAATTTATCTTGTTTTGTAATGCATGATAATTAATAGCCAGCTGGTTTTGAGGAGAAGAGATTTTAAGAGTTTTGTCAGTCCAGATACCAAAAACAAGACCTGAGTAGGCTACTAGTATATAAATTAATAAATCTTTCTCTCTTTTCCGAGTCCTGCCATGTTCTAACTTGGAACTATGAAGTGATATACAGTATTTGTATTATATGCTATATCGTAACCACTTGAACAATCAGTTTTAGCTGTGCTATTTTATTACCTCATTTGGAAATCATCATACAGCACTTGTAATGTTGCCAAACTCTTGTATCCTAAACATGCATTTAAATTGTATGTTAAGAAGCTTTCATGGCTTTATACTGTGCTTTTAAACCAGTTACTATAGTTTCACAGCCAGCTATAATTGTCACTGTGGTTTTTTCTTTGTATATTTTAAGCATAGGTTTGACTTTGGTAAAATATCCCTTTAAAAGTGATACCACCATTGTATTAAACCCGTTGATTTGATAGCTTCTGTTAAATAATAAGAAACAGTAAATATTACTTTGTTAATAGTATTTGTGGTATGGTATATATATATATATATATACTGTATGGGTATTATTTCTGTATTTCCTAGCTTTAAGCAAAGAGCAATTTGAAATTTTGAAAACAGTTCTAGACAAATCTAGCAAAGGACTATGATAATATAAGTTGGGGGGAAATAATATATAAAATCAATTATTTGTACAGTGCGGGAGATGATACACAAGCATTCATTGTGAAGATTTGAAAGTGAGCCTTGGTGTGAATGAGAACACATGCAAAATTGACTGGTTCTATCACAGAATCTGAGCAAGGCTATTCTTATAAGAAAAGATAAAACATTTTATTTAAAAGCAACTTACCTAGTAGATGACTAAAGACCATTTGTGGATGCTGTGTCGCCAAATACTCAGACAAACTCCCAGATAGAAAACCTTCTGTATTAGAAATGCAGTCTGCACACTAGCTGTTTAAATTCTACTGTGTCTGTTTCATATTCCTGGTGCTGCTTCGTTTTGTTGCTGCTTGCTTCCAGTTTACCCCCAGTTATTCCAAATCCTTGGAGTGGCTCTCTAAATGATACTTCAGTTATTCTTCTTTTAGAAAGCTATGAAAAAGAGCAGTGGGCTTTGCATCTTCTCAAACAATAGGGACAGATGCACCAGTGTTAATGAACTCAAATGTTCAGTATATATCAAATATTAATTTAAAGCTTCAACATCCACCAGCTTTTCTCAAATACCAATGCACAAAACTTCTTTCTCTTGCAGAAAATCCTGATATACTTAGGATATAGGTTGTGCTGAAATGCAGGAAAAGTAGGAATTATAGAGTCCAGGTTCTGTTTTAACTTTTCACCTGCAGAGCCTGCTTTTGGTAGTGGATGTTGAACAGTCTGCTGTTCCGTGCTTCTGTCAAACACAGATGTGAAATGCTGCTTAGGAACAGGGGAGAAACTCCCAAAGGGGGTAGTGTGTGTTGTGTCATATCTCTAGACAGTGAGTACGCATGGCATCAATGAGTTGCTTATATGAGCTATTCAAGTTAGGCACTAAACTGATAGGATGACATTTTCCATACAAAATCCACTCATTATTTTTCCCCGAGGGACAGCAATATTTATTGGTAGGAAGAAAAATCAAAAGGATTCTGCAAGGTTTGATATATCCTTTGTATTCGAATAGATTGTCATACCAGCAAACCTTTTGTTATTGAAGCCGACAGAAATCTTTTTGCAGTAAATGTTTATAGGAAAACACTTTTCCAAGTTAGATTTTTTTAAAGTGGTAGCTAGTTGTCATTAAGCTATCTGAAATTTTTAATTTCAAATATTTTCTGAGTTGTTGAAATAATTGATTTGAGAAGATGCACTTCAAATCAAAATACTGTTTTCTGCCTTTGTGATTATGTTAATCATTATGTGTAAATTACTCTTAGGTTTGCTGTGTAAAGAGAAATGCCATTACATATCTCCTTAGTTTTCCTGCACTGACGTATTGTTTTTGGCATATGAATACCTGCTGGATTTCATTTTTAAATGAAATTTTTCTAATCTTACAGCCATATTAATATTGGGGTTTTTTTGAGATGAACCTGTGTTAATTCATATAAACATAAAATAATGTGATGTGAATAGAGGCAGCTTACTTCAAAATTAGATTTACAGTGTCCTTCCTGAATCAGTTGTATTATTATAGTATGCATGTTAGTAAAATAACCAAATTTTGGAACTAACTTTATAAGAGAATTGCATTTCATTCATCTTTTCTCTTACACACTGCGAAGAGGGAAAATTGGCTTGCGTCCTAACTAATGCTCAAATGGGAATGTTCCCTGTGGGCAAGAAAAGGAGGAGGGAAGGTTTTATCAGTTAACCCACAGTGTAGCATCTTGCAACCCCCAAATCTTTTCTGGATGGTTAGGAGATGCTCTGGAGCAGCAGGGTGCATGTCACAGAGAACTGCAGAGGGGAGGGTAAATAGAGGAAAATTCCCTATCTCACGTTTCCCTCCAGTGGAAGCCTCTCTTGAATTACCTGCTGCTCCACAGATAGAAGTGGCTCTCCCTTAATTGGTAACAAAAATGAAACAAACAAAAATCAATAAGGGTCCCTTCCAGCTCTGCAGTTCCAGATGATGATGATAATGATGATTAATGAGTGTTACAAATACATACTTTGTCCTGGCCTCCTTATTACACACACCAACCAGCTTATCTTCCTTTTGCTTGGCTGGTTCACTCACATGATCAATGATCTAATTCTGCCCCTCGCCTCTTTTCACCTGACACATTTGAAACTCTCTAAGTTCAAAGATAAGACACCTGGGATAGATAAGGCACTACCCTCTTTCCTCGAAAATAAGACCTAACCTGAAAATAAGCCCTAGTATGATTTTTCAGGATGCTCGTAATATAAGCCCTACCTCGAAAATAAGCCCCAGTAAGTGAAATCCCACTCTCCACCAGGGACACATTGTGCAGCAACCAGAAGATGACATGACTGTATTTGAATAAATGTAGATTGTTGTACATGAAAAAATAAAATACCCCTGAAAATAAGCCCTTGTGTATTTTTTGGATCAAAAATTAATATACGTAAGATCCTGTCTTATTTTCGGAGAAACACTGTGTGTAGTACCGTTTTCTCTATTTAATGTTGGGCTAGCTAATGAAGTCAAAAGTCTGTGTGAATTGCTGAAACTGGAAAACATTGTATGTGGTTGGCATGAATGCTCTGATCTCCTGACGTTGTTTCTCTGGAATAATGGAAACTACAGTACTTGTGGTTGCATCTGAGTTTGCAGACATTATTGCAGACAGTTTGCATAACCATGTATAAAGTATGTATGTACACATGGTGCACATATTAATCTTGGGAAGAGTGTATGAAATCTTGGTTAAGACCTGAAACATAGTTCTGATACTTAAGAACTGAACACATGTCCTAGCACTGAATATTTCCTTGGATGCTGACTTTGAAATATAATGCAAGGACTTACTGGCGCTGCAGGTTAAACCGGAGAAGCCTCTGTGCTGCAAGATCAGAAGACCTGCAGTCGTAAGATCGAATCCACGCGATGCAGTGAGCTCCCGTTCGTAGTCCCAGCTCGCACCAACCTAGCAGTTTGAAAGCATGCAAATGCAAGTAGATAAATAGGTACCACTATGGTGGGAAGGTAACGGTGTTCCATATGTAGTCACGGTGGCCACCTGACCACGGAAACTGTCTTCGGACAAACGCTAGTTCAATGGGTTGGAAACAGAGATGAGCACCGCCCCCTAGAATTGGACACGACTGGACAAATTGTCAAGGGGAACCTTTACCTTTTACCTTACTAGTACATCATGATTTAAATTGGAGTTTGGCCTAATTTGAACTAATGTCTTTTTTGCTGTACAAACTTTGCCTCTGTGGCTTAGCGAAGGGTGGCAAATACTATGATCATTTCTTTAGTCTCAATCAGGAATGTGGCACCAGGGTTACATAAATGTGGAAAAAAGGAAATGTGCTAACCTCTCCCCCTCTGTTGACACTTTGCTCACATGTAAAGTGACCATTTTGAAGATGGGATCCTCTTCTACACATGGAGGGTCCCCACATTTGCCACAACTCAGATTTCATCTTTTCAAAACAATTGCTTTTCACCTGAACAACGCCATGAGAGAATGGGGTGCAACTTGTATATTTCTCTCTTGCATTGTTTAGTTAAAGTCTTTAACTACTGGTACTAACCCTTTTAGTAAGGCTCAGCAATCCTGATTGGATGAAATGGGCCATGTAAAATATTCCAGAACAGCAGTCATTTCTTGTTTTTTCTCTCTTGTTTTTCATTCTTGTTCTTCCTCTTGCCATGGAAAAGACCATGATGTTTAGAGGTGCCTGCTTAGCAGATGAACTCATAGAAGATGTAGCAGGATAGTCTTCAGTAGACACCTATCCCTGCACAAGGAATCTCATTGTGTGGTGCGTGCCATATAGAAGTTTAGGGAAAGATTTTTGGTGTGGATAGGTAGGACAACTTTTTTTTTAAAAAAAGGAAAAGAACCCCATAGATGTCACCTGTGTAATTTCCCCTTTCTTCCCCACCCCCCAGATGTTACCTGAAAACACTGTCCTGATTTTAAACTATGGTTGCATTTGTAGATGCCATTTTTGTTTCTAACAGTTGGTGTATTTCTATTACGTTTATGGTGTATATATGTGATTTTTTTTTAAAAAAAAGAGTGGGTTTATTCTTGAATTATTTCAGTTCCTTCTTGTTTGTGTAACTAAAACCAGTAGAATGAGCCTGCCTTTTTAAAGCGGCGACAGGGGTGGGGGTGCTCTCCTCCCGAGCCCTCGCCCGCTGCCTAAGGACACCTGGTGCCTCCTGGGCTGGCTGGCAGTGCTTTGCCATCATCGGTTTCCCGCTTGGGGAACCGATCATGCCAAAACAATGCTTTTTTAAACATCTGATCGGTGGTTCCAAAATGACCGCCCTCTGTTTTCTGGACGGATTCCTCACTTACCGAGGTGATGAAAATGGCCGCCCCTATGGAGGATCTTCGCTGAACTATGAGTTTTTGCCCCATAAGAACGCATTAAACTGGGTTTAAAGCGTTCCTAAGGGTTTTTTTGTTCCGTTTAGCGATGTTTCCGGTTAGTGACGTTAATCCTGGAACGGATTAACATCGCTATGGGGAGCACCACTGTATAGCCATAGAATCTGGATTTTTAAAGAAGCAGCAAAATATTTACAGTTGTGGAGGCTCAACATTTAGTGTTGAATATCCCTGTAAACTATGAAGGGCCACCATTCTTTGGCACTTAATTAAAAGTGTATTTTTTTTCTGGTTTTCCTGACCATCCTTTGACGATTCTTTCTGTGTGGACTGCTATAGACTGTGGTCTGGAGTTAGAATGTGGGCACAATAGACTCTGTAGTAGGCATAGCCTTCAGATGGCTTGGACTGCCCCAGGCAATATGGCCAGTAGTCAGGGATTATGGATGTTGCAGTAAAAACATTTGGAAGGCACCAGGTTTGCATGGCCAAGTCATCCAGGTCTCTCTTGTTTGGTGCAGGGTGGTTGGACAGTAATGTACATACGTTTTAATATAGGATATTTTATATTGTCTTTTTAATGTTTTTAAGTTTTAATATTGTTGTACGCCGCCCAGAAGCCACTGGTAATGGTGCAGCTAAAATATTGTAAATAAATAAATAAATAAATAAAT